TCTTGAGTATAACCTTTGGCTACTAATCTAGCCTTATATCTTTCTATAGAACCATCGGATTTGTACTTTACTTTATACACCCATTTACAACCAATGCAATGCTTACCTGGTGGCAGCTCAGTGAGAAACCATGTGTTGGTTTGCTCCAAGGCAGTCAACTCTTTCTGCATGGCTTCTTGCCATAAGGGATTAGTTGATGCTTGTTTATATGTCTTGGGTTCTGTTACTTGAGAAACAGAGGCAGTAAAGCATGCATGATCATATGATAAATTGTCAGTAGACAAGTAAGAAGAAATGGGGTATGATGATGATGTTCTAGACTGTGGAGAATGTGTGTCCTCTGAAAAAGGAGCAGGATGCTGAGTCATGACAACATTAGAAGATGATGATGGCAAAGAGTGATTATAGACATTTAAATAGGAAGGGGTAGTTCTTTTTCTGGAAGATCTTCTGAGATTGGGAGAGGAGTTGTTAGAAGGACTGGGGACAGGAGCTGTTGGATTAGGTTGTGTTGTTTGAGGGATGGTTGAGATATCTGGTAAGGAAATCTGTGAATTGGTGTGATTAGTGGTCACAGAAGTAGGATTATCATCAAACAGGAAAGGAGAAGGGGTGGGAAATATGTGGTTTGAAGAGGGAATAGGCTGATTATTTTTAAAGGGAAACACATTCTCATAGAAAACCACATGTCTAGAAATTAATATTTTCTTGGTTTCCAAGTTGTAAAGCTTATATCCTTTACAACCTAAAGGGTAGCCAAGAAAGATGCATTTTGATGCTCTGGGTTCAAATTTATGTCTATGAGCTTGGATAGTGGATGAGTAACATAAACAGCCTATTACCCTTAAGTGATCATAAGATGGAACACTTTTAAAAAGGATCTCATATGGAGATTTATTTTGTAAAAGAGGCGTAGGGATTCTGTTGATGATATGAGCAGCTGCAAGAATACAATCAATCCAAAAATGAAGTGGTAGATGTGCATGAAATAATAATGCTCTTGCTACTTGAAGAAGATGTTGATGTTTTCTTTCAACTCTTGCATTTTGTTGTGGGGTTTCAACACAACTTGTTTGATGAATGATTCCAGTAGTTTGAAAAAAATCTTTTAAGAAAAATTCAGTGCCATTATCAGACCTTAGAAATTTTATCTTCTTGTCAAATTGAGTTGAAATCATGTTATGAAAATGATGCAAATGCAACTGAGTGTCAGATTTAGCAAGTAGGGGGTAAATCCATGTAGTTCTGCTGAAATCATCAACTATTGTCAGGAAAAATTTGTAACCAGCATAAGAAGGGATAGAAAAGGGTCCCCAAACATCACAATG